ATTTCACAGTACAGTAATGAGAGACAGATATAAATATAATTTTAAACAACCTTCTTCAATTTTGGAAATTGTGATTCTAGCACAGACCACCATACTGTTGAAATTATATTTACATGAGTTGGATATAGTAATAAATGCTAAAAAAGTCCCAATTATGTTACATGCAATGTGCAGAAATCCATTACGCCTGTGACACAGAACACCTGAAACTCTCATCTGATTAAAGCTTAAATCCATACAGGTTTACTATATAACAAAGATTATGCTAACCTTTCCTGTTTGAATATTCAACAGAAATATTTACTTCCTTTTGTCCTACTACATACATTGAAAATTAAAAATCAGAAGTGTAGTTAACTCATCTCAGTACTGGAAAAAAATATACAAATACCTAAGAACATGAAGAGAAACAATTACAGGACCCTACTTAACACGGAAACAAACAGAAGATGACAGATGATGGTGACTAATCAACTTTAAAAAACAGAAAAAAAATGCTACACAGTCAATGAGATTAAAAACCAACTCAAGTCAGGCCCGATCCTCCTTCTAAACATTTCTCTTACACTCTAGGAGCCCACCTATTCCCCTCCCCTACCAGGTACTTGCATTTTCCTTGACAATTACAAACAAATCTCGATCCCAAGTGTAGGATTTTGGAAAAACGATGAATACTATCCAAAGTGATATGATCATAGATAGGGCAAGAATGAAGAGTTTAAAGAGTGACAGGAAGCATAAAAAGAATAGCATAGGTTTTTCTTAGGCTTGTATTTTTCCTATTCTAGTTTCTAGTTTCTTTCTTAGTTTGGTTGTAAAGAAGCTTATATATTCTTCTTTTCTTTAAGGTGAAAGAAGAATATATAAGCTTCTTTACAACCAAACTAAGAGAAAGAAACTAGAAACTAGAATAGACAAAATAAGCCTAAGAAAAACCTATGCTATTCTTTTTATGCTTCTTGTCACTCTTTAAACTCTTCATTCTTGTCCTATCTATGATCATATCGCAAAGAATACATTTTTTCACATCATACTTGGAGAATCTTCAACTATAGGCAGTTCATTCTATATTTACCACAGCCTTGATGACTCAGACTGGTAATTCCCTATTTTGCTTTTCTCAATATTTGGTTATTCAATCCTGGGGTTGGAATTTCATGCTTTTGATCATATTGTTGGTATGTTGGTAACTTCTTTTATCATCCCAAATTCATCTCTCACAAAAATTACTTAACACCCTTGCAAACAGCCTAGAGATTAAAGCTACAGGCATTGGTCAAGAACCCTCTTCCATTGATACCTTTGGATTTAGTTCTTGTCTTCCTGATTGTCCATTAAATCTAGCTTCAGTGAACCAACTGACCCATTTCCTTAACTGTTCACTAACCTTTTTCTCTAGTTCCTTCAACATACGCAACCAGAGTATGGAAAGATTATGGTGCATGTTTTTAATCATTCATGCCGACTAATCTCCTTCTGTTGTTAGTACTGACACTGAATACAAATCTCCAAATTATCTGACCCTAAATAAGTACTAAAGAAGGATTCTCAATCTCTCCCATTTATAGTCTTTTGAAATGTGGATCATGTCAGCTAAATAATCACAATAGTAAGTTTAAATTTCAACTCAGAAATGTTTATTCAGATGTTAAGGACCATCACAAGTTAGCTCTATCATGTGTCATATTATAACGAGTTAGTTTAGCCCAGTCAGCTTGCATGTGACAACTGGCTGTAACTGTTCGCAACTGTTTCTGTTCTTTGTAGAGCAAGCTATTTGTAGCTGTATAATCTTTGTTGTGACAGAATTCTAAATGTGATGAGAAATAAAATTTCAATTTTTAACAATGGTAAGAGGCAGGCTGGCAAGTCTAGACCTTTTGGTTCACAAGAAAACTTTCAATCATAGAGGAGTAAAGCATAAAACATTCAAAAACTAAAACTTCACGGAAACCAAACACATACAACGAAATCATCAAAATCAATTACCAAAATATCAGCAACAAGGCTGACCATTGCTTACAAAGGAGACAATGCACAGACCAAGTACCTGTAAATCTCCAAGTGGAAAGGCTTCTGAACATATGAGTCTGATAAAACTGACGGGACAAATTGACACTTAGTGACCTAACTGCAACTGAAACAATCTTCATTTTGTTCCTGCTTCAATAAAACAATTGTTTAAACCCGTAAATTTATGAGCTCTGCACTAGACTTCACAGTAGCTAAAAATATAACACCACAAAATCAAAGAGATAAATTATCTCACTTCTGTTAACCTGAAATCTAAATTTCTAATTAAACCATAAGAGATGTCTCAAATATTTCCCTATCCAAAGAAATTATATCACAAAATTTCAAAAGAAAACAATAGCATTCCGTTATATACCTTCATAATACACATACACAACATATATATGGATACGTTTAAGATAACACCTCTCACACTTCAAAATTTAGCAAGAGTATATAGGAATACTGGCAATTTATTTTGAAAGTCGGCATTCAGAAGATGACAGTGCAATAAACTTAAATAAATGATATTATCCACACGAACATTAAGTTCTTATAAGCATGGTTATCAAACTAATCGTTAACTCAAACGATCCGATTTAAATCGGAAGCAAGCTCGATTTTAATGCAAATTCAGTAGAATCAGGTAGCATCGGTGAACTCGGCCAAACTCGCGATTTTGCAACCGAAGGCGAGTTCCAAGAGAAGATTTTTTAAAACTCAAAACGACAGTGGTTTGGTGTGCAAGAGTGAAGAAAACTCACTGATTAGAAGAAAACTCAAAAAGCAATGAAGGGCTTACCTTGCCAGAAAAATGAGAAGTTGTGGGTCTCCAAATTTAAGGGTTCCGAGTAAGGGAAAGTGAGTGTTTATTGTTTGAAGAAGATGGTGGCCCGGCGGCAAGACACCCCTACGACGTCGCCTTACAGTGGTGGCTAGAGCAAGGGCTTCTCTGTATCTGTCCGTCTGTCATAGGTAGAGCGTCGTCGTTTTGCTTCGGTCTTCTGAATAAACAAATCTTTATTAGTCCGGGTCACTGAAACTCGCCTGGTCAAGTCTGACTGGTTCGGGTCATAATGTTGCAAACACTTCCCAGCCCGTTTTCGTCATTAACATCAAGTTTCACTACGTTTCGCGTTTCAAGTTTGGGGATTGTGCCACCTCCAAGCTTTCATTCAATATATCCAATTTTTTTGTTAAAGTCTAAAATATCCTTTAGATAAGAATAAATATTTTTTTTCTTCTATAATTACTCAACTCACTTATATCCATTTTTTTTTGTTAACATGCATCTCTCTTCATTCAAAATTTAATTTAAAAATTTAACGAATTTTGAAATTGAAGTTAAGAAATTGAATTTTGAATTAAGATTTATAAATTCAACAAACTTCAAAATTAAACAAATTTTAAAATTTGATTAAGAAACTCAACCATTACAAAATGGTATATTATATGATTAATTAATAATAATATTACAATAAAAATATAAAAATATATATTTATAGCATCATATAATATTTAATTGTTATGTTATTTATGCATGTTATTTGATATACGTAAATTATTGGCTTTTGACAACCTTACTGTAAAGTAAATGTCGGAATGTGAGTAAATTCAGAAGTGTATTTTATTTGAATGGAAAAATAAATTAATGTGAAGTTGTGGTTCTTTCTTTTCTCTTCATATTTTTCATTTGACGGTGAAACTTAAAAAGAATGATTTTTTTTAATCTAATATGTATTTATCTGTCTTCTAGGTTTCATTATTATTGAACATGATGTTTTTAAAGAATTATTAGATGAAATTTTTAAATAGAGGAAAATGACAATGTTTACTTTATAGTGCTTGATTTTTTGCGTTAGTTTTTACTCAATCACTAACAAGACGTCTCATTACCTGAATGAACCACATAAAAAAAAACATTGAATATTAGAAATAAGAAGAAAAAAAATAGACCAAAAGAACAAAATAAACATTTATCAGAAAATAAAATTAAAAAAAATTATACTTCTTATTCTAATTTGTATGTGTCAGTCAACGAATGACTTATCATTTAACACAAAAAAATGCATTACAAAAATTAAAACGAAATATAATTTTTACAAAATACTAAAACAGAAGGAAAAAAAATCATAGAAAAAATTGCAAATTTATATTAAAATAAATTATTTAAGTCAACTTATTTTTTATACACATACACCATATATTTATAATTTACCTATGGCACACGCAATTATCAACTTGTCACTGTCGAAAAATGTCCATTTTGAGTTAGGACAGTCCTATGTTGATATTTAACTGTATAGTTTGTCAATATTTTTGCCAAACACAATTCTTTAACACAAATTTAATCAATGTATGAAAGCTGCATACTTTTTCTTTATTTTTTTATGAAAATAAAACATTTGGTGTATTTTTGTAATTTTTGCAAAATAAAAAAAAATCCACTCATATGCTTTGGATTTAATTGCATGGGAAGAGTCATTTAATTGGAAGATCAAAAGGGAGCTAAAAAAATAAACTATGCAATATTGAGATCTGATATTTAATGGAGATTTTGACATGCCTACATAGTTTAGACATGGACATATAATTGCAAAATTAACATGCTAAGAGTCAAACACATGGTCTTAGAAAAGAGTAAGATGAACAACATAATCAATACACAACTTTACACATCTCTGACAGACAAAAAAGTAGTATTACATATATTACTAAGTATTTTAATGAACACATAAAAACAACTTTAATTAATTTCTTAATGGAAAATTGAGCTAAAGCACTTGTACACAAACTCAAAAGACAATAATATTCAATTAACTAATAGTAAGCAAAAATGAGTCATCAAATTTACAACATTTAACCAAGATGCAGACAAAAAGAGGCAGAGATGAACTTCACTATACAATGCATACGTATAACATAGGAAAAGAAACAGAAATATTGAATTCCATGTATAGACAAGCAAAGCACAAGAAACATATCACTCAATGCTCTGATTTAACCCTCACTTCTCCATTTGGCAGTGTATTTTGAGCTTGTGCTGAAGTTTCAACTCCTGCATGATGTAATAAGGCCAATATTTATGTAACGAACAAAAATACTTAATTCTTGAATTCACTAAACCTGTTCAGCTCTTTCAAAAAATTTAGCTATATAAATAGTCTCTTCATGCTTCTATTTACCATAGTCCTATTAAATTAACCATGTAATATACAGCGCAAAATGTGCAGAAAAGCCAACCCCAATGTTCTTAGAATTTAGTGGGATTAGATAATTTTAAGAAACATAATTGAACAGAAAAGGATTAGATGAGAACAGTAAAAAAACATGATAGTTGGTTTCTTGGAGTAGAAAGCATTCAGAAATAATGTGTATTATTTTCTTCCTAAACTTAATAAATCTCTCCCAGCTTTATTATTTGTTATTGTTTGCAATACTTGACTTGAAGAAGGTGAGCATCAAGATTCAAAAGTAAACCTGTCCATCATGTAGAACAACAGCCACAAAAAGAAATAAAAGTTAAAATACAAAAAGCAATTCAAGGAAAGAAGATTAGTAAAGCTAAGGAAAAGACAAAACACATAACCTCATGTTAATATTACCTCTTCCCACAATATCAAGAGATTTTCATCTTCAAGATAAACCTTTCCAAACTTTCTAGAAACTAGTTAGATAATAGTTCTAAGAAAGGTGTAGTATGAAATGACTTATCTGAGTCCATAATCCATAAGTCAATGGAACTATCTAAATTACATAATAATGCATTTGCAATTTCATCTGTTGTTGTTGCTGCATTTGCTGATTGATTATCATTTTGCTTCTTTTAGTTGTTGTTCTTCCTTGAAGCACGACATTGATTTTTAAAGTGACCATTTTTCTGACAATTCCAACAGGTGATATCATTTCGTACTTTTGTTTGTGATCTCCTTTTAGACTTTGATCTGCCTCGGCCTTGATTACAACCTTTCTGGCTATTTCTTCCTCTATTCTCAACACTCAATGCTGAACTAGAATTAGAACGGGAAGATTCCATTAAACTTCTCCTACGAACATCTTCGCTTAAGATCAAGTCGAGGATGTTATCAAACTTCAACTTGCTATTGCTTGCAAGATTACTACCTATAGTAACAGTAGCATCCCAACTTTCCGGAAGAGACGATGATAAAAGTAATGCTTTTATTTCATCATCAAAAGTTATTTGCATTGATGCCAACTGTGCAATAATTGTATTAAATTTACTAATATGATGAGTAACAGAGTTACCTTCATCCATTTTAAGGTTGACAAGTCTGCGAATCAAATACACTTTATTGGCTAGAGAGGGCTTCTCATACATATTTGATAACGCCTGCATCAAATCTGCAGTTGTTTTCTTGTTCATGATGTTCAACGCAACATTCTTGGCTAATGTCAGCCGAATCACACCAAGGGCCTGCCGATCTAATAACTCCCAATCTGATTGTTCCATGTCATTTGGCTTCTCTCCTCTTAAGGGTAGATACAACTTCTTCTGATAAAGGTAGTCTTCTATCTGCATCTTCCAAAACCCAAAGTCACTCCCATCAAATTTCTCAATCTTCACCTTACCTTCTTCCAATGCCATTGCTCCCGCTACTTTTGAAGAAAACTCCCACAACTTCTCTAAACCAAGATTCCCAAGAAAAAAGAAAACCAAACCTTTTATGATATGGAAGATCAACAAAGTTGCAAACACAGAGCATACTAAGAAACTTACTCCTGATACATATGAAGACAAAAAAAAAAGGAAAGAGAGAAATAAATGACACAAGAATTTAACATGGTTCAACATACAAATACCTACGTTCATGATTACACTAATAAGTATATTTATATTTTTTGTCTATCTTTCAAGCTTTATAGAAAATTGCTTATATAGAGAACACTATCTATCATTATTGAGCAATGTGAGACTAAATTAAGCTCTACAATACTAATAATATAAGCTTTGCTAAAGATGTTAGCTAAAAATATAACACCACACAAATCAAAGAGAGAAATTATCTCACTTCTGCTAACCTGAAATCTAAATTTCTAACTAAACCATAAGAGATGTCTCAAATATTTCCCTATCCAGGGAAATTATATCACAAAATTTCAAAATAAAACTTTAGTTCAGTTATATACCTTCATAATACGCATACACAACATATCTATGGATACATTTAAATAATACGTTTTGAAATATGAAAGTTTGTCCTTCAACACTGTATGTTTTAACTTGGCTTGTACCCTTAAAAGAAATCTCCAGTTATTGGATCCAATTTAAAAGTCATTCTGATTCTGTTATTTTTAAATTTGCTTAAATTCTGCTTTAACGGCACGGAATTATTACGTTCCTAAACTTCTATCCTCGTGGGGGGTTTTGGTGATCGAAAACACTGAAAATTTGAATTAAAAAACGAAAAATTATTACAATTTATTCATACTGTTCAATTTAAACACGAGAATTAACATTAATCGCCACTTAAACAGGGATATAGTTTGTTTGCTTGCTCGTGAAATTTAAAATATGACAAGAATGAGGTATGCAGAATATGAAAAAGCAACGGAGGGCTTACCTTACCTGAAAAATGAGAAGTTTTAGGTCTCCAAATTTAAGGGTTCCAAGTAAGGGAAAGTGAGTGTTTATAGTTTGAAGAAGATGGTGGCGCGGCGGCAAGACACCCCTACGACGTCGCCTTACAGTGGTGGCTAGAGCAAGGGCTTCCTTCTGTGTCTCTCTCTCACAGGTAGAGCGTCGTCGTTTTGCTTTGGTTTTCTGAGAAAACAAATCTATACTGGGCCGGGTCATTGAAACTCGCCGGGTCAAGTCTGACCGGTTCGGGTCATAAGGTTGCAAACATTTCCCAGCCCATTTTCATCACTGCAAGTTTCACTACGTTTTGCATTTCAAATTTTCCGTACCATTCCATTTTCTTTCTCTTGTCCGTTTCATACAAATTACGTTGGATCATATTACGGTTTTAGTGTGCGCAGTCTGCACGGTTTTGGTGGTAGTATATAAACAAAAAGTTCAAAATTTCGTTCATTCTCTAATTTTTTTTTTCTAAATTTTTGAATTCTCTTTTTTTCTTCTTCTTTATATAAACTTTTTCTAGAAATTTTCACTTTTTCTTCATATGATCATCAATCAAGTCGTGCCTAAGCTTTCTTGGTGTTAAGAGCTTCTCTTTTCACCGATTAAGTTGTTGTTTGGAGTTGATAAGTTCAATTCCTTCATCCTTTGAGGTTCCTGCATTTTCTGTTACTTGCAAGCACTGTGCAGCTTGTATGTGTTCATCAACTACTCCTCTGAATATGTTTTTTGTCTTTGATCCTCTGATTGGTTCCTTTTCACCGATTAGAATTTTGCAGGCTGCTTTAGAAGTTACTTGCGGGTTAGGCAAGACTGTGGAAGTGTAGAATTTGTCTGGTTTATTCGAGGTAAGGAAGCTAGTAATTTAATTATGTTTTTCTGTGTTTGGAAGTTCTGTTTGGATGTTTGCATGTACGAATAAGTGGATGTTTGATTGAATTGTGTTTGAAATTTTGTGTATGACTGAAACATGTGAACTGGTTGGGTTTTCTACAGAAAAGTGTTTGGTCTGTTCTATTTTTTTTAAAGAAGTGAATAGAGAAAAATGAGAGTTTGAGGTTAGGAGTGAAATTGGGTGGTAAGGTACGTCTGGGCAAGTTTATTTAGACTTGTTAGAATCTTTAAGATGTTTTAAAAATGTGCAAAAAGTAAGAAAATGGATTTTTGGTCAAAATTGGGCGTTACTCATAATTCTGCAAAACAAAACATCGAGCGGTTACTGTTAACTGTTCGACCTTGTTCTTTGCTCGGTCATTAACTGGGTTCGGTCTCCTTGGAGTCCTACTAATTCATGATCGTTCAGTCTTAGAAGGGTGAGTTTCTTAGTGTTAGCGCTCGGTCTTGTACTAGTAGTTATGCTAGTGTTAGTGTTCGGTCTTATACTAGCAATTATGCTAGTGTTAGCGCTCGGTCTTATACTAGCAGTTATGCTGGTGTTAATGCTCGGTCTTATACTAGTACTGATGTTAGTGTTAGCACTCGGTTTTATACTAACAGATATATTAGTGTTAGCGCTCGGTCTTATACTAGCATTTATGCTAGTGTTAGCATTTGGTCTCTTCTAGTGGTCGGTCTTTAATAGTGTTCAATTATTCTTTTGTTCTATCTATTATGGATCGTTCGCTCATATCCTTTGGGTAGTGAGAAATTGTTCAGTCTCCAACGTTCACAGGGTTCTCGATTTTATGAGTGAGGATATGATTGTTGAATGACATTATATGTTAAATGATGAGGATTATGTTTTAAGTATTGTGGAAGAGAATTCCAAGGCGGAATGTCTCGTGGATGGTTATTGAATTGTAAAGTATGAATGTGGATATCGTGCTAAGCTGGTGTTTATCCTAATATTCTGTGATTACTCATTCTCAAGTAGAGAGGTGTAACTGAGAATGGGAGGAGGTCCTTTAACCTCAGGGTATCGAGGTAATCTTCACTGAACTTACCTTGTGGGGTAGCTTGATAGGTGTCTTGTTGTTTCACCACCACAAGTGCAAAAACACCTGTAGCTACACATTCATACAATCCGAATGTTCAAGTCAGGTGTTTGGTCTATGCATGAATATAGTGTTCGGTCATAACTATTTGAGTGTTCAGTTTGTATATGCTTGCTTTTATTCGGATTTGGTATGTAATAGTGTTCGGTTCGGCATTGTTTGAGCTTGAGTAAATTGTATGTATGTGTATGTAATTAAATTACATTAGCTTACCCTTATTTCCTATTTTTGTCCATGTTCTGTTTGATTCTTCTCTTGCAATGATCACCTTTGAGTGTGAGCAGAGGTAGAGGAGTGCTCGGTGGAGCAAGCTTTGAAGGAAGAAGAAAGAGCAGTCGTTTAATAGTAATTTACTATTTAATCTTGTTAATAGTGGTGCATAAACTAGACGGTAGGTACATAGTTTTGGAATAGTGTAGGACTTTTGTAAAGTTTTAAATTTTATGGTTATTTTGTAATAACGGTAAGGTTAACTTTATTTTCATCAGTAATTGTTTTATTATATTATTAAATGATGACTCTTGTATATAGTTTTAAGTTATATTTTTGGGATGTTACATCTTGGACTATTGGACCTCAAATAATATATAATATAATTAATAAAGACGTAATAATATTAGAGAAATATAAAATATTTAAAAAATAATATATTATATGATCAATTAATAATAATATTACAATAAAAATTATAAAAAAAAATTTATGGCATCATACAATATTTAGGTGTTATGTTATTTATGTATGTTTTAATTATTGATTTTGACAATGAAGTGTGAGTAAATTTCAGAAGTGTATTTTATATGAATGGAAAAATGAATTAATGTGAAGCGATGTTTCTTTCTTTTCTTTTCATATTTTTCATTATTTTTAAAAAATGAATATTAGAAAATCTAATATGTATTCATCTATGTCGTTTTAGGTTCCATTATTGAACATGAAGTTTTTAAAGAATTATACGATGAAAAATTGTAATGGGAAAATGACAATATTTACTTTATAGTGTTTGATTTTTTAAGTTAGTTTACTCAATCATTAACTTGATAACTTAAGGTTGTGTTCGCATGAACAGATTTTACTGTTCATGCGAATTTGTGGGTGATGATTTACAAATCCCGTGTTGTTCGTTTGCGAGGAAAAGGATGGATCGTCGACAACAGATTTGCGGGGATTTGCGGGATATACTCGATTTTGGTCACTCTCAACTTCGAAGAGATTTGCGTGGATTGTTTGGGAAAAGTCCTATGTGCCCTTACCGTATTACCTAAATTTCATACGTGTACGTTGTTGAGAGCTATGGAGAGTGCCTTGCTGTTTTGCTGAGACGAGGAAGATGAAGTGGTGAGGTAAGTAGAACCTATTGTCATGTATATGGTGGTTTGCATTTGCAGGTTTGTAGACTGGGAGGAAGAATAACGTTGTGCGTGTTGATGGCAAGAAGAATCAAAGGCTTGAAGAAGAAGATGAAACCGCGTGCATCAGAGACGAAGAAGATGGTGAACAGTGTTTAAATGGAGGGTTCGTAATCGGTTACACCAGAGACGTAATCGGTTACGTCAATATGAAGAGTTTTCAAATGGTTTTGTAATCGGTTACGGCAAACTGTAACCGGTTATGGCAAACTGTAACCGGTTACATTTTGTGTGTTTTAACAATCTTTCTTATAATTGTATTTTTCTAATATTAATATACTTGCATCTTTAAATTTAATATCTTGTTAATACTACATTTTAAAATTAATTCATTTTACTAAATTATAATTTTAATAATATTTAAACATAAATTTTATAAATTATTTTTTTCTCTTTATAAACATTTTTACAATTAAATATAACATTAATAAATAACATTTTATATTTATTTTATAAAGAGGGGCATCTTGGTCATCCTTATTTCATATCAATTATACTAATTTTTAAAATCTATCACATCAATCAAATCATACACCAATTCTCACAAACTTTACTTTCAAATCCACTCTCAATTACCCACAAATCCACTCAAAAAAACAACTACAAAATTACCCTCAAATTCATTCAAATCATCTCCCCCAAATCATCTCTCCCAAATACACCCAAAAGAACACACCTAAAAAACGCCTTGTTAACTGAATGAACGACGATAAAAAAAACATTGAATCTTAAAAATAAGAAGAAAAATTAGACCAAAAGAAAAATATAAACATTTATCAAGAAAATAAAATTAAAAAAAATCTATACTTCTTAATCTATTTTGTATGTGTTAATTAACTAATAACTTATCATTTAACACAAACAAATGCATTACAAAAATTAAAACCGAAATATAATTTTTACCAAAAGCTAAAACAGAAAGGAAAAAAAATAAAAATCCATAGGAAAAATGTAAATTTATTTTAAAACAAAAAGTTATTTAAGTCAACTTATTTTTTGAACAGAGAGCTATATATTTATAATTTTACCTATGGCACACGCAATTGTCAACTTGTCACTGTCGTAAAATGTCCATTTTGTGTTAGGACAGCCCTATGTTGATGTTTAGCTGTATAGTTTGTCAATATTTTTGCCAAACACAATTCTTTAACACAAAAGTAATCAATGAAAGTTATGAATAAGCATACCTTTTTCTTTATTTTTTATGAAAATTAAACATTTAGTGTATTTTTTTAATTTTTACAAAATAAAAGAGAAAAGGATAAAAAAAAAGAAAAAGTAAATATATGGAATGAACATAATATAATATATTGTTGTAGATATGTGTGTTTTACATGCATAACATTGTGATATTTGACAAAAGAAAGCAAACAAACGAAATACTATTTTTCTTTTAATATGAAAGTATTGAATGCTTGATCCAAATGGTAAGGTGAAATTCTTATGTCCATGAATTACAAATATGAAATGTTGTTTTTTCGTTTAAAAAAGTATGTATTAACAAATCAAAGTAGATGTAGAAAATAAGATGATTTTAAGGAATAATAGATCGCATTTATATCAAAATTATAATCATAAACCTTTAAGCAATTAAAAATAAACTTTATTAAAATACTTTATTATATATTTTATGATTTTAGTATAATTAATCATTTTAGAATTATCTAACAAATGTTCAAATGAATATAAATTTTAACATCTCATTTAATAATATAAAACTGCTACATAAAACATTAAAAGTTTATAATACACAAATTAATAAAAATTAGAAACAATATATAATATTAATAGAGTTATTTATCTTGATAACTATAAAAAAAC